ATAGATATAGATATAGATAGATAGATATATAAATCTGATTCAATGTGTGAATCTGTAACTCTAAAGTTACTCGTAGTTTTGGCGTAATTTAAAAAAAAAAAGAGTCTTCTGAAGGAAATTGGTTCAGGCTGTTGATAAAAGCTGTTTCTGCTTCCCCTACACCCTGCTTGCTTATGGAGAAGCAAAAAGGTGTTAAGAAAGAAAATGAGAGCAAAAGTCTGTTTGCTTCTCTGTGTGTGTTTAGGTGTGAGAAAGAGAGAGACAGAAAGAGAGAGAGACTGTCATATCCATCCATTTCTTGTTCATCCAAACACAATTGGATCACTACCAATTCACATTGAGTTCATGTGGTGCTCCAATAGACCATTGGCCTGGAGCCAATTCAAATGAGGAATTTGCTGGGAGAAGTTCCTCAAACTTTCCAAGAATATATCCCCATCTTATATGAATTAAAGCAACATATGTTAGTGCCTCAGGCTCTTGGCCTGACCATCTTTGTCTAAAGAAATGGCATTTTTGTAATCTTTGACAGGATCAGATTTACCACTGATCCCTTTAGGAAACTCATTGTGGGTATTCTGAAGGATACAGAAATTGTATTTTTTTAAAAAAACATTTGATGATTGAGGGGCTGCCACAAAGAAGAGGGAGTCAATCTATTTTCCAAAGCAGCAGAAGGCAAGACAAGAAACAATGGATGGAAACTAATCAAGGAGGGAAGCAACCTAGAACTAAGCATAAATTTCCTAACGTTGAAAAACAATCAATTAATGGAATGGCTGGCCTTCGGAAGTTGTGGGTGCTTCATCACTGGAGGCTTTCAAAAAGAGACCGGATAGTCATTTGTCTAAAATGGTATAGAGTAGACTCTCCAGTTTGAGCAGCGGGTTGGACTAGATGACCTCCAAGTTCCTTTCCAACTCTGTTATTCTGATCATGAACATATCATTACTGCCAAAGGAAAAGAGAAGCACTTCTAGTGTTGTCTGCTTTAAAAATTTCTTTAGCAGAATAATTGGCTCTGTATTTCATAAATTGATTAGACTTAGCATGAAACATTCATAGTAATTTTGCACATTCAGTATGTCCTAGTAATAGCTATTATTATCTAGTGATCCTAGGATTTGATTGTTGAATCTATCTCTTATATCTAGCCACAGCGTGTGCTCACATTTCCAAACCCGTAGCAAAGGTTAGTTGATTTCACCTCCAGACAGGAATGAGGCAAAAGTCAAATTAACTTTTATTTAAATCACTTTCCTCCCATTAGTTGCAGAAACACACACATGCGCTCCCACACACTCTAGCAAGCTTTCTCTCTATTGTTTTACTATCTTTTTAACTATTGGAAGCCACTCTAATTAATGCGTATTAAATTGCAAGAGCAAAGCATTATTGTTTAAATAAAGAAGAATAAATACAAAAAGATCCAGACAGCGGGATGCTTTAATACTAATGTTGTATACCAGAGTTTGAGTTTGAGTTTGAGTTTTTTATTTCATTTGTATGCCGCCCTTTTCCCTGAAGGGACTCAGGGCGGCTCACAACTCAATGGAAGGGGG